TCTGTTATTATTACAATTACTCTTACTCCTCTGTTCCTTTATTTACTTAGTACTATACCCTTCTTATATGCATTTTGTACAATATAAAAACCTTTTTATGAAATTAAATAAATCTTAAATACATTATTTTTTAATTTTTGACAATTTTTATATTGATATATAATGATATATATATAATGGTTCTTACACAAAACATATATATTTATTAAATCAACTTTACAGGATAAAATATTATGTCTTTTGTATATGTATACGTTGTTTTAAAGCTTTAACTGTTGTATATATCAGTTATATTAATATTGTGATTAATATTAAATGCCTTATATCATCATCATCATGCGTGACTATAGAGTCCATGGAGGACCTAAGCCTGTTTAACAACAGTCTTCCATTCTTCTCTATTTTTTGGTTTTGTTTTCCAATTTCTTATGCTGATTTCTTCTTAGTCCTGCTGCATACAGTCTTTTCATTATTTTCTTGGTCGCCTTCTGGTTCCTACTTTGTTCTCATAAATCTTAATCGGTACTCTCATATCCGGCATTCTTATCAAATGTTACTACTGGGGGAATAAATGTTTTGTATATTTTTAGTCGAATTCATGTATATATGATTCTTCAAATCATGCATGCTTACTGGCTATCCTATACTACTCCACTTTTTGTGTACTTCAACCAGCCCAGATTTGGAACATATTCACCTTACTATCTGCCTTACTCATCTGAACTGCAAGAAGTTCGATCGACAAGGGACTGTATATGTTTATAACTTTGTACAAATCCCATTCTCCACTGTTAGTAGTGATTCTTCTAATATTGCTAATCTAAAATTTTTTCTAAATTACTTTGGCATTAATTCGTAGAAAATTGTTTTATTTATATTTACTTAATAGTTGCATTTTTATCGTTTTTGTTTATTATTCCAGTTTTAGTTCTTGTGATTTATTGTATACACAATATTATAAAACAGAATACTGCGTATTTAGTACTCGTGTTTCCTAAAGATAAAAATTATATGGAAATTATTTTTATGCGGAATTATTTTTTCTATGCCGGACAGGAAGCTCCGATTTAAATTTGAGTTCAGCGTATTTCATTGTTTATCATAATTCAAATAGTAGGTTTTAAAGTACTGATACCTAAAATGTACACTCACATTAATTAAAAAACAAATCTTTACAAAAGTTAATTGATTTGACAATATGTAATAAATAATTTAATATTTTACTAAATTCTAATTCTTGATCAATTTTAAATAAATTTTTTTAAAAGATATGTAATCAAAAAATGTCAAACAGATTTGTTCCTTATATGTATACTAGTGGAGACTTAGTGGAAAATCATGTCTGACCTACATATGTAAGATGTGAAAATTATATAGTATTACACAGATAAATTTGCATACAAAATTATCACTTTTGTCGTGCCTTATTTATCCGAGAAGTAGCTATAACCAAAAATTTTATTTACGATTAAACTTTATTATAACTCTTATATATAAGAGTGGAAGCGCACTTAAATGAGAAACAGTGGTCTGTGACTAGTGTATATGATTCAATTTTTTTTTAATTACTTAAGGAAATATAAAAACGTACTACTACCACCTTTTCAATTTCGACTCAAATCAAAATGACATTTTATTCTATTTAATTTTGTTCATTTCTAGCCTCTAGCTCCATTTCTAGCCACCGTTTCTCTTGTACTCTGGGTTCATTGTGAATAGTTAAAAACTGTCAAAAGCTGTAAATAGCAGCTTTGAGTTAACTTATAAAAATCGTTTACATTTTAGATTTTTATATTGCAACTTCTAACATATATGTAATATTATTAAAGTTTTGACTTCTTCTGGTACTGCGGTCAGTAGAGATTGTACCAACTTCACTATTGTTTACACAAAGCCCTTTAAAGCTTTGTTAAATTCGGACATTTTATCTTCAAAAAGTTTCGATCTGATAAAACAGCTGATTTGTTCAATTTTTTAAATAGCAACTTCTAATGTATGTATCTTCAAAAAATGTCAATCTGCTTAAACAGCCGATCTGCTCAAACAGCTAATCTACTCTATTTTTAAAATAGTAGCAACTTCTTATATATATGTAATGCAGAAAGGTTGAATACTTACGTACCAACGTATTTCAGTATTACGATGTTCGAGCAGTTGAATTCGAACATTTGAATCGAACACTTGATCTTCAAAAATGTCAATCTGCTTACACAACTGATCTGCACAAACAGCTAATCTGCTCTATTTTTTAAGTAGCAATTTCTAATGTATGTATATGTAATGCAAAAAGGTTCCTTACTAACGTACCAATGTGTTTCATAATTACAATGTTCGAGGAGTTAAATTCGAAAATTTCGATCGAACACTTGATCTTCAAAAAATGTCAATCTTCAAAATGTCAATCTTTTAAATAGTAACTTATAATGTAAGTATAACATATGTAATATGAAAAGGTTCAATACTAGCGTACCAACGTGTTTCAATATTACAATGCTTGAGGAGTTTGAATTCGAACATTTGGATCCAATACCTCAATGTCCGATCTGATCTGCTCATCTGCCATTATATGCGATGATAGTCATAACTTCCGAGAAAAAGTGCATTGTTAAAAAATTTTTAAGTTAAATTCTTTGAAGATTCTTTGAAGTACTCGCATATAGTCTATTATATGCAAAGAGTGTAAT